TGTGGTCCCTTATTTTGTATGATTCTCTGATTTAAATTTAGTATAGTAGCGTTTGTAACATACACAATGTGTACTTTACTATTATTTTTGCTTTTTGTACACAAGACGTATTAAGTTGGTACTATGCCTAAAACCAGCTCGTTTTTGTCAGACGACGTCACACAGGCAAATCAGTCATGTTTATGTGAGATTTTAAATATTTTTTTGTGAATGCGTATTTTTTTTAAATAGTCATAGTAAGACGATTTTGGCACTTTTGACATTTTCGATCATTTCTCAACCATTTTCGAAAATTAATTGAAGTCGGGATCTATAAGTATACCTGATTTTTTGAGAATTTTCAAACAACTTTTTCAAACTTGACCTGACCTGACATTTTCCCTGTTTTATTTGGTTCTTATTTTTTACAAAAAGTGATCTGATCTCCAGGATTTTAATTTTCGTGTTCAAAATCATTTTTCCCAAAATTTTGAATTTTAATTTTGATTTTATTGTGTTGGCCCTAAGTTTAAATATTCTGAATTTATAACTTTTATTATAGGTATTTATTTCTCTTCTGAAAGTCTTCTTGCTTAAAACTGGACGTTTTCGGTGAGATTTTAATCACTCTAATTATATTTTTCAAATTTTTACATCAAAATTTTCTGTAAATTCCACAAAATGTACGAATCAAAAAGAAAAATTTCACGGTTCTGTTCTAGGATGTATAATATAAAATAGTAAAAGTTGCGATTAGCACTTTTTTACTGTTTTCACATCCTAGATTGTATTATTAGTTTCCACTCCCATTTAATAGAACAGACTTAGGTCCGCCCACCCACCTTGCCTCCAGTGATTGATTTAATTCGATCTCAATGAAATTAATGATCCTATACTCAACAGAAATAACATTAGGTAGTTGTTAGAACGAGAAGAGGGCGTGGGGTTGCTAGTACTTGCTAAGACAAAACTGATTTTGGCAAATGACATACCCTTTAAGAAAAAAAAAAGGGTGGGTGGGCGGGGCAGGTATTTGATAAGATAAAGACTGATTTTGGCCTTTTTGACATTTTCGACCATGCCCGAAAACTAATTGAAGTCGGGATCTACATAATTACATATATACAGAATCTATACTTATAAAAAGTCAAAGTGACCCCGCCCACCCACCCGGTTTCTGTTGTAATCACTCATTTTATTGGACAAAAAAGAGGCATTTACATGGATACACAGTAGAAGTAAACAAGAAGGTAAACCTAACCCCACCCATCTCTGCTTTTGAATTTCAGTTTTTTTTATTAGATTATCATTGAATTTTATTGTCAAGTACTGCGCTTGAAAAATTCAAACAGGTAAAATTAACTCCACCCAGTTCCGTTTTTGAATTTCATTGGTTAATTTTGTTTCTTCTGTGATAAAATTTCATTTTAGTTCGTCAAGTGGTTCAATCTAAGCTTAAAAAATTTCGTAGTGGCCCCGCCCACTCACCCAGTTTTCGTGCTAATCACTAATTTTATTGCACAAAAATGGCATTTACATTGATACGGAGTGGAGTGTAGACAAAAAGGTATAATAAGAAATAAATTTTATAGCAAATAGTATAACAAAAAAAGTTACAATTGGCGATTTTTTTTTACTTTTTTCACATCCCAGATTCTATTATCCGTTTCCAGTCCTAGTCGACAGAAGAACATAATTAGCTTAAGGTCGGTAAAATAACTACGCAGTCACTATTTACATGCGTTTCAAAAAATTTGCTGTTCGCATATTGGTATTTGTTTAATGTGAGGAAGTCTCGGCACTTACTTCTGAGACACCTCTTATATAATTCCAGGAGGTAGAATAATAAATAGTTTTTGGCAAAAGCAAAATTAAACCACTCGCCCCTAGAAACTTTTGCAATAAGACTGACCCAAATTCTACGCACAATCAAAAAAATTGGTCTAAAGAGTTTAGACAGTACTTCCCTCGCTGTCGGAAACTTGACGACTGCATGCCTATTGTGTTTTTTTTCTCATTACATTTTTGTAGTGGGAATTTAAAAAAAAATTGCGATGACGTCATCAACATTTTTGCAAGGACACGTATATCAGTTGGGATAGATGTAGTGTAATACTAAGAATAAAATTATTATATTCTCAAATTTTCGGGAAAATGAATTGGGTCGTTTTGAATATTGATTTGTAATAATCAATAAAATAACGAAACAATTTACTCACGTATACGTATCAGAGGCAACTGAAAATCGTGTATTTATAAACATTCTTAATTTAAGATGACAGGCGTAACAGCATACAGTGCCGTAACTAGAGAATTTTAGGTATAAGCGAACTTTGTGTTAAGCGCCCCTCCCTTAAACATAAAAAATGCAATTTAACAGAACAATTTTGTTTATACTTTTTAATAAGTATACAAAACAGATACTAAGTATGATGAAATATAAAAAAAGAAACAAAAAAATCATTCTTGTTTAGTATAACATAATTTTTGGACGAATTTGGCGCCCCTTGTCGTTGGCGCCCCTAGGCAAGGGCCTACTCCGCCTATAGCTAGTTTCGGCACTGACAGCATACGTGAGAGTCAAACAGAGAAACTGTAAACAAAACGACCATCGGTTTTATTGCTTCGACTTCCGCTTATTATATAAAACATTGGGTTTTATTTTAATTCTTGACGGTGAAATTCACAATTGGTTGATTATAAACATGTCTATTTCACATTCGCGGAACCAAGTGAGCGCATAAAATAAATGCAGGTCTGTAATGTTAAAGTCGATGTAAATAAGCGTGCTACCCTTATGTTTCAACCGAGTTTTTCCTTTAACAAATTTTGTGTCTACCAAATTGGGTTGGTTGGGGTATAATACTAATAATAAGTGTTGCCTTTAATTTAATCAATAAAATAAATTGACTTCATTAATTTTTTTGAACCACCTCTTAAGAAAATCTAAAAAATATGAATGGAATGATAAATCACAAGTACAAACTCATCATATTTTTTGCATTTTAGATAGGATTTATTCAGCAAAATTTAAGGGTGACGTCATCAATTTTTTTAGGAGGGATGAACAAATACATTTTGAACAAAAGTTTACCATGCTTATAATAACTTTAAAATATTCCCAAGATTTCAAAGCATTCGGTTTTGTAATTCCTGATTAAATCGATAAAATAAATTCAGGCCTTCATTAATTTTTTTGAGTCACCCTGCATATGCAAATCCAAAAATATGATTGGAATGATAAATCACAAGTACAGACTCATCATATTTTGTACATTTTAGATACGATTTATTCGGCAAACTTTTGAGCTGACGTCATCAGTTTTTTGTAGAAGATAACCAAATATATTTTGACTAAAAATTTATTATGCTCTTTATAACCTTAAAACATCTGCAAGATTTCAAAGCATTCGGTTTTGTAGTTCCTGATTAAATCAATAAAATAAATTTACGCATTCATTAATTTTTTTGAGTCACCCTGTATATGCAAATCGAAAAAATTTGAATGGAATGATAAATCACAAGAAGAGACTCACCATATTTTGTACATTTTAGATAGGATTTTTTCAGCAAAATTTTGTGGTGACATCATAAATTTTTTAGGGGGGACGACCAAATACGTTTTGATCAAAAATTTACCATGCTTATGATAATTTTAAAATATCTTCAAGATTTCGAAGCATTCGGTTTTGTAGTTCCTGAGTAAATCAGTAAAATAAATTTACGCTTTCATTTATTTTCTTGAATCACCCTGTATATGCAAATCCAAAAAATATGAATGGAGTGATAAATGACAAGTACAGGCTCATCATATTTTGTACATTTTAGATATGATTTATTCGGCAAATTTTCGAGCTGACGTCATCAAGTTTTTGGAGGGGATAAGCAAATATATTTTGACTAAACATTTATTATGCTCTTTATAACCTTAAAACATCTGCAAGATGTCAGAGCATTCCGTTTTGTACTTCCTGATTAAATCAATAAAATATATTTACGCATTCATTAATTTTTTTGAGTCACCCTGTATATGCAAATCCAAAAAATATGAATGGAGTGATAGATCACAAGTACAGGCTCATCATATTTTGTACATTTTAGATATGATTTATTCCACAAACTTTTGAGCTGACGTCATCAAGTTTTTGGAGGGGATAAGCAAATATTTTTTGACTAAAGATTTATGATGCTCTTTATAGCCTTAAAACATCTGCAACATTTCAAAGCATTCTGGTTAGCAGATTAAAAATTAAATTTCAAAATGTTGTTTTATAATTTTGATTTTTTTTCCAAAAATCTGGACGTTTCGGGTGAAAAGTCGATTCAGAGTTGTAAACTACATGTGTAGGACTATGTTATTTTATACAATTGAAAACCCATTTACTATGTACAATTTTGAAGTGACGTCATCGCATTAGAGGTGGGGATGATTAGACAAATTTTGGTTAGCGTTTTACCATCTACATGATATTCTTAATATAAGTACAAAATTTCACAACAATCGGTCGAGTACTTTCGGAGATTATCTGTCTAATAAAAATCCGGGACGGCAGACGGACAGACAGACGGACGGACACACGGACAGACAGGCGGAAATGGGAGACCTATTTCTTCGTCTTCTAGGGGTCATGAAAGATCGAGAAAACGTAAAAGTAGAGAGTCGGCCGACGGACTCGATTACAATACTTCCTTTGCTTGCGCTCGGGAAGTAAAAATGAAACTACAGCATCGACAAACACCAAAATTTGCATGTATCCGTCAGACAGTATATTTTCCTGCTAGTTACATAAATCTCAGTATTGAATGCGTTGGTTTTCCTCACCATTCTATAAAACCTCCCCCTTTGTAGCGGAAGGAACCCGCCGCAACGACCGTAAATCCACCACACTATTATCGTACAATATCAATATGCTACATACACATCATTTCCTCCCACAATCGAACCGAATTTGCAATCTCCCATCAATCCCGACACGCTCACGCACCCCCCCCCCCCCCCCCCCAACGAAAAACTCCCCGAAGTTCCTACACTTACTTTATTGAATTAATTAATTCAGTAATTACAATGAAAACACATATTCAAAGTTGAACAAAACTCTATTGCAAATAAAATAGAAAAGAAAAAAAAATAACCGCTCTAAGAAACATTAAAATCCTATATTACACACATCAAAAAATTTACGCTTTATTCTTCAACAAATCCTTATTCCTCTCCAGCATCTCTTCTTTCTTGTCCTTCTTCACCTTACTCAAGAACTTATCCATCTCTTCGATATTACTCTCCGACGGAATGTTCGCCTTATCCACCTTGCTCCCGCTGCCACCTTCTCCTTCTCCCGCGTTCTCCTGTCCCCCATCCTCCTTATCTGCCCACTTCCCCCCGAACGCCTCTCTGTTCACGAACTTATCGTTACTCGTGTAATCGTCCCTGTCTTCCCCCTCGCTCAGCGGCCCTTCGTGCCTAACCTCTCCCTCTCCCCCTTCCGCGTACTTGTTAACTTTATCCTTCTGTTCCACGCTCTGCTTCTTTATCGCCTCGTCAGAGTCCCTCTCCCTGCTCCCGCTTATAGACCTACTTCGATCCCTCGACCTACTCCTGTACTCTCTTCGGTCTCTGTACTCCCGGTACCCGCCTCTCTGGTACCTGCCTCTCGGCCGTCGGCCCCCTCTGTTGTTATAGTTATTATACGGCCTGCCTCGCCCTCGGTAGTCCCTATCGTTATACCTGGCGTCCCGGTTGTAGTAGCTGCCGCCTCCGCTGCCACCGCCGCCTCTGCCGCCGCGGATGCTGTTGCGCGGGTTCTGGAAGCGGGGCTTGTAGTAAGTGCCTCGGTCGTTGTAGCGGCCCCGGAAACCGCCGCGCCGATAGCGGCGTCTGTCGCCGGAGTAACTCCGGGACCTGGAGCGGCTACGAGAGTAGTACGAGCCGGAGCGGGACCTGGAACGACTGTAATATGAGCGGGAACGGCTTCGATAGCTACGTGAACGGGAACGGGACGCGCTCGAGGAGCGCGACCGGCTGTATTTGCCGTGGGAGCGGGAGCGGCTGTGGCGCTTCGGCGAACGACTGTCGGAGCGGGGGCGGCCCGGGGGCTCCGGCGGACGCCGACCTAAACAAAACGAGGCGTTTTAACACACTGTTTCAGTTGCGATAATGAGCCTGACTACCTTCAGTGCTAATGACATATTTATACTACTTTTCTTGGAACACCTGAGGTGGGATTTTGTTTCTATCGATACGATACGAAGCGATAAATGACAAGGACGACAATATAACTTTCAAATGCGAAAGAAAAAGACGACCACATTTTATCGGTACCGATATTTTATCGTTACAGAAACAAAATTCCACCCCTGACCACCAAAATTCGATTTAGCGCGCTATGCGTTTGCAAAATTTAAGTTAACAGAACTTCCTCTTACTCACGACACTACAGTCAGACCGCAAACATCCTACGGCTACCGCTACACAATCATTTCAGACGCATAACCATCTACTACATCCAACAAAACACATCCGTCACCAAATATTCAAAAATTTGTAGATTTACCCAATAACGGTAGCAACAAAATAAATAAATAAATAAAACTAAGAACATGGCGCAAAGCTCAGCCGGTTGCGATGACAAACCTAACCATGCCACATGCCTACAAAACTGAACTGAACCAAAACAACTAAACCAAGCTCTAGTCGTCGTAATCGTAACCGTAAAAATCGTTAGCCATCGAAAAGACTGAGCTCTACCTGCGGCAGGTCCTTTAGGAGGAGCACCTGGTGGCAACGGCGGCATGTCGTCCCTTCCCTTCTTCAATTCCGGCGGCGTCATCAAGCGGAAATTGCCGAACTTGTCGAGCACCACCTGTCCCGGATTGACCAGCGGATTGATCATGGGCTTGACTGGCGGCAGGAGTTTTGGCTTCTTCGGCGACTCGGGTCTTTTCGGTGGCGGTTCTTTCATCGCCATCGCCTTGCGCACGCTCATGTTCTTCTCGGGGGACGGCACGGGCGGTTGCCCTCCTTTCCTCGGCGACTCTTCGAAGTTGCCGTTCTTGCCGCTCATCATAGCCCGCTTGTCGATCATCTGCTGCTCTTCCTTCCACTCTTCGCGCTCGGGTTTCTTCTTGAAACGCGAACCGCTACTCGGCGGCGGCGGTTGCCCGGTGATCTGCATCTTCCACTTGGACGAGCTGCCGGCGGAGGCGGCGGCCTCGGCCACGGCCTGGCGGGCCTTCTGCTCGCGAGTGGGCGACGGGGAGTCGAGGAGGCCGCGCTTGGGGCTCTCGCTCAGTTCACTTCTGGAGTGAATGCATTCATATTAATTTTAATTCAGTCGTCGGGTAAAAAAAAACGCCAAAACACTGATCCCTTCAAAATTTATCGATATTGTGGTGTCCCAGTTCGAATTAAAATTTCGCGCCGAGAGAAAAAAAAACAATACCAAACATGGGTAACCATGTGCATTGATTAAATACATATAGATAGACCCATGCTATTGTTTGGAGCGAACAGGCCAACGCCGGCGAAAAGCTTGGACACCAATCACGCGCATAGGTAACACAAATCACACCAACAATACATTTAATAAATCTACCACTCGATAGAGGGCGACGAAAAAAATGTGTAAAAATCTCATAGTCAGGATTTAGATAATTTACAACGTTGCCAGATGAGTCTAACACAACTTTGCCGTTATTTCTATTCGATTAGATTTTATTTCGTTTAAAAGTTTCTGGTAAATAAATGGAATTATTATAATGAATAAACAATACAAACAAATTATTACTTGTTATTTTAAATACTTGTTAGTGTTGATGAAAACATAAATAGTTATTAAAGTTATTCTAAATAGCTCAAATTTTACAGTACGAGTGGGATGTTTCAGGACGAGTCGGTAGCCGAGTCTTTAATTTCGAAACGAGTACTCCGAAAAGAGTTACCGGACGTTTGTCGTTATGGATTTTATTTCATACTGTCAACATATTTTTTTATTCGATAAAATTATTACTATTTTGAGAAAAAGTTCAAATCGAGTCACTTTTTGTGACATCGTTAGCAACCGCTGTTTGGCAAATGTTTTAATTTGTTTATTCGTGCAAGTCAGCATCATATGTGTAAACACATAGTATAACACGTTACAGGACTTATTGTTTTGTATAATCCGACTCGATGGACCAATATTTGTGCAACTCGGCTCGTCCTACCAGTGTTTTTTGTAATCTGGTTGATACGACAATGTAATAACGAATTGTACTTTGATATTGCTCGAAGGACCTTTGTTTTGTTGCGTGCGAAATAATAGACAGCGTTCGGTTTCGATGTTTAATACAGGACGGTTACAGAAGTACTAAATTTACATTTGTATTTAAAATAACAGGTAAAGCAAAAGAGACCCAAAAGGGCCAGTGGCCGCTTCCGGAAATGGAACACTTGTCCTTTTTGGCTCAATTTTATCGGACTTGTCCGTTTTTTTTATTTTACCGGACTCGTTCGAATCCAGTAAAACGTCAAACTTGACATAGTATGAAGTAAAATAAATAAATTTTATGATGTAAGTACAATTAAGTATATCGATAACTCGCTACTGAAAATTTATTGAAATATAATTTCTAATTTGTGTTAAAAAAAGATGTGTGGTTTTATGGTTTATTAAATGTAATTAAAATAAATAATATCAAGAACTTGTATTATATATTAAAAACATTCTTTGTAAATAAGAAAATTATGTAAATAAACCATAAAACCATACAAAATTTTCCTGCAACCTCTATTCAAAATCCCAATTTACTAAGAGGAATTAAGGCACAAAGATGCTTCACTGAATTTATTACCGATTTTACAAGAAAAGTATGCTTATAAGCCTATAAGCGTCTAATGGATTAAAACAACAAATAATAATAATAATTTATTTGTTTTATTTGTTCATTATAATAATCCCATTTATTTACCAGAACCTTCTAAATGCAATAATGCGATTAAGTATACTGACCGTTTTAAGGAGTGCTCGTCCAATAGTGCGTAAACTAAAAGATTTGGTAAATTTTCTTGGAAGAGTTTGTTTCTCCAATGAAAATTTATGGTTTTTAACTCTTCTGCCGCTTGAAAGTCCAGCCTTGTGAAAATAGATTATTTGATAACCTGTTTCGTAATGATTGTAAATACGAACAAAACCATATTTGCATATTCTAAACAACTGGCCATATCGATACTAAACTTGTACAGATATGTTTTTTAATGCTTCTGTTTTCAATGAAATAAATTTTATTTGCAAAATACTTAATGTCTAACGACATATTACGCATACATACATATGTAGGTACTACCCCATTTACTATGTTTCCAATCTGTGCATTTTTCGCTTCATTCGTAGGAGCCAGGTAAGAAATATCAGTGAGACCGGCGGTCTTTGAATAGCTCGTAAATAAAGAGATTTAGTGAAGTTTCCTAGAACAGTCTGTCTCTTCAATGAAAATTTTAGTTTGTTAACGTAATTACCTAATTAGGTGGGTAGAATTTTAAACCGGATCGACAATTTTACTATGAAATATAGGTACAATACGCTATATTCTTTTCTCGTTGCAAGACAGAACAAATAAAAGAATAGTTTCTAAAGCTGTTCCATTTTTCCACTCTTTGTTTTCTTTGAGATACGAGTAGTTCTTGTGCCGAAGTGAAACACCAAAAAGTCTAAAGTTCGGAAATCAGAGTGAATTTTAAAACACATAAAAACGACTTCTTTATTTATTTAAATATTGTCCTGTAACGTCCTGCGACGTGGAATGGAGTTTCTTAAGGCCAGTCCCCACGTTTTCTCAGCGGAATTTTCGCTCTATTTTCAAAATGTAATATCTCCGTTATTAACAGATCTATGGTTTTCAAATTTTAAATATATGTTGTCCATAACTTTCTTTATATAACGCAAGGGCAATTTTGTTAAAAACAGCTTGTGATCATATTATTTTTTTAATTTTAGTGAAATTTTTGCATAACGTATTTTTAAAAATCAATATTTCAGTTATTTATGGAAATTTTGGAACGGGGTTGTCACCACTGTTTTCAGCTTGCAAAACTTGAGAAATTCTACGAGGTCGATTTTTGACTTTATTTGTTGGGACTGAGATATAGTAAAAATAAAAGTTAGCAACTTCCATGATATACGCTTTTTTTAACTGTGTATCGTTTCTAAAAAATAAAATCGACGATATGTCTCGTATGATTTCTGGAGTTTTGTAAGCTGAAAACAGTGTTGAAAACCGTGTTCTGAAATTTTATTTAATAATTGAGATATTGATTTTTAAAAATACGTTATGCAAAAATTTCACTAAAATTAAAAAAATAATATGATCACAAGCTGTTTTTAACAAAATTGCCCTTGCGTTATATAAAGAAAGTTATGGACAACATATATTTAAAATTTGAAAACTATAGATCTGTTAATAACGGAGATATTACATTTTGAAAATAGAGCGAAAATTCCGCTGAGAAAACGTGGGGACTCGCCTTAATGTACAAAAGTATGTTAGATAATAACTAGAGAGCGGATTTCTGTCGGGCTAGACAAGGCCAAACTCGGTCCGGCTCGTAAGGGATGGGAATTTATTGCAGTTACCGGCTGCACTTCGTTTATTTGAGATTAGAATAACGCTGCTTCGTTGCACTCTGCTGTTAATTCCAGTTCTCATTTACTTAGCCGTTTGATTAATAAATCGTTATTTGTATTTATGGAATCAAGTGAGAATTAAATTCAGTGATTACCTATCACCCGCTACTGAGTCCCGGCGATGCAGCGCGTCCCCACCCATATCGTGACGTAGCCCGACAGAAATCCACTGTCTAATAATAACCGAAAAATTTTCTTGGTTAAAACTAAAGGAAACACAATTATTACTTGGAATAAAAATAAAGAATATCGAGAACTTGTGCTATGTATTAAAAATATTTAATTTAAATAAGTAAATTATGTTAATAAACCATAAAACCACAAAAACCTTTTTTTAACACAAATTATATTTCAATAAATTTTCAGTAGCGAGTTATCGATATACTTAATTGTATTTACATCATAAAATGTGAAAGAAAATGTCTGATTTTTGACTTTATGCGGCATATGTTACCCGTTTTTTAAGATATATATGAATGCATATGTTCTGTCTTTAGTATATATCTGTCCGTCTCTAGTCTAATAAATTTTCTAAAAAAATATAGTAAGTTTTGAGAAAACGCATTTAAAAGTATTTTCCTTTGTATTATTAGTAACAAAAGTGAGCACATAAAATCGTAGAAAAAATTTCCAATGTGTTATTTACATTTATTTTACTTCATACTGTGTCAAATTTCACGTTTTACTGGATTCGAAGGAGTCCGGTAAAATAAAAAAAAAAACGGACAAGTCCGGTAAAATTGAGCTAAAAAGAACAAGTCCTGTAAAGTGTTACTATGTGTTTAAGCACCATTTTTGATGCTGATTTGCACGAATAAACAAATTAAAACATTTACCAAACAGCGGTTGCTGACGATGTCAGAAAAAGTGACTCGATTTGAACTTTTTCTCAAAATAGTAATTATTTTATCGAATAAAAAAATATGTTGATAGTATGAAATAAAATCCATAACGACATAGGTCCGGTAACTCTTTTCGCAGTACTCGTTTCGAAATTAAAGACTCGGCTCCCTACAGTCGCCTCGTCCTGAAACATCTCACTCGTACTGTAAAATTTGAGTTACCGGACCGTATTTATAATAATGTTAGCACTAACAAGTATTTAAAATAACAAGTAATAATTTGTTTGTTTTATTTATTTTTATTCATTATAATAATCCCATTTCTTTATCAGAAACTTTTATATGAAATAAAATCTAATCGAATAGAAATAACGGCAAAGTTGTGTTAGGCTCATCTGGCAACGTTGTAAATTATCTAAATGCTGACTATGAGATTTTTACACATTTTTTTCGTCGCCCTCTATCGAGTGGTAGATTTATTAAATGTATTGTTGGTGTGATTTGTGTCACCTATGCGCGTGATTGGTGTCCAAGCATGGGTCTATCTATATGTATTTAATCAATGCCATGTGTAACTTCAGCTATGGTGATAACTCGTCTAGGGGGTTTGGAACGTTTGGGTTCCCACAATATATAAATTTGGTTTTGTATATTCAATTCGTAATTTAAACAAAAATAATAAGATAATAAGAATGTGAATAAACTTACCTCTTGGATTCTTTCTCCATTGCGTAATATGCGTTCAATTTAGATTCCAACTCTTCCAAATCTGGTAGGCTGTCAATGAATCTGAAACAATCGCTTTGAGTATTTTTCCCCTTTTCAAACGCGTCTTAGCTCACCTTTTAGTGTATCCCGACTTGTGCAAAAAGTACTCATCTTCATCAGACGGCACACTATGTTTCTTGGACTTTTTGCCCTTATTCAGCTCCTTTTTAATCGCATCTCTCAACTTCTTATGGTCCTCAAATTCGCTCAAGTCGAACCCTTTCCGTTTCAACTTTTTATCCTTCTTCTTCTTTTTGCTATCTTTCTTATTCTTTCTATCCTTCTTACGTTTCTTTTTCTTTTCGTCGCCTCGTTTCTCTTTCTTCCATTTAGAACTTTCCTCTAAAAATTTCCTTACCTTTTCCTCATAATCCGAATCGCCTTTAGTCTCTTGCAGGAACAACCTCAACCTCTGCTCATAATTCAAATCGGCCGACTTTTGCGCCTCCGCCGGCTGTTCTAGGTTAAAATCGAACATGGAAGTACTCGCAGCCGGCTTATTGAAAGTGTAATTGCTAGGAGTGTCCTGCGATTGGTCCATCATTGCCATCCGTTTACTCAGAGGACTCAAAGAGCTTTGTTTCTCTCTCCTGTGCGACCTCGATCTGTGCTTCTTCCTCTTTTTGAAATCGCTATCGCCGGAGGTCGAGCTCGAATCGCTGCTGCTCGAACTCGAACTGCTCGAACTCTCGTTACTCCCCGACGAACTACTGCTCGAGCTCGAACTCGAATGCCTCCTATTCTTGCGTTTCTTGCTCTTCTTTTTCTTCTTCTTCTCTTTCTTCTCCTCGTCTTCGTTCTTAAGCAACTGCTTCAGCGCATCGTTCACGTCCGAAGTCTTATTAGCCGTTGATAAATTCGGCAATAGCAACTCCGTCGGCTCGATCAAGTTCTTCGTGGTCGTTGCCTTGTTCTTCAGGAACTTCAACGAGTTCTGCGCTTCCTCGTGATTGGGTATGAGACTCAAACAGCTCTGGTAGGACTTCCTGGCTTCCTCGAACTTATCTTCTTCTTCGTAGCTCCGTCCCAGCGCTACCAGCGTCTCGCCCATATACTTACGAGCGTTACCGTGATTCGGGTTCAGTTTGAGCGCGGTCTCGAAATCTGATATGGCTTTCTGGAAGTTACCGCTGTTCGCGTAGAGGGCGCCACGCGCCACCAGACCTTCCACGTTTTTGGGGTCGATGTTTAAGGCTTTGTTCAGGCACTGGAATGCCTCGACGTGTTTGCCGGCTTTGAAATGGTCGATGCCGTCGGCCACGTTACGATATGCCCATTTGCTTGCCTGCACTTGACGCAGCTCCGATGCGTACTCGTTTTCGGGGAAGCGCCCTCTGGAGAAAAACGGAGCTCGTTAAAAATTATATAAATGAAGGGGGTGAAATAAATTCGTGACGATTTGTTTGTGTACCAACAGAACAGAAACATACGAAAACAGACATACAATTGCCGCACCTTATACACGGTGGTAAAAAGTCGTCCATCAAGTTGGCTTTGAATTTTGCCGCCTCGTTGTGATTGCTCGTCGTCTGCACAAATGTCAGTTATAACCTAACTTTTTTAAGTGTGTGAATAGGAGTCACCAGTTTGAACATTTCCTGTTACACTCACACATTCTACTTTATATCATGTTGGGTTTAAATTATTTATAGAACTTCCCTGGCTCCAACCGCGCAAGCAATACGAAAGTGCAGTTTCTTAGACACAAAGGGCCTCCGTGACTCGTCCACATTCTTTAAAAAAACTGGTCGAAAATTATTTATATTATTTATAAAATTTTATTACGATAGCGAAACAACACTTTTCAGTTTTTCGGTTTGAAATTTTTCGATTTAAGTTTCTAGAGTTTTCAATTTTTAATTTTTCAATATTTCGATGTATATAATTTTTTGTTTTTTCGATTTTAATTCTCTCAATTTTTCTTTTGCGCTATTCCAATGTTTCATTTTTCTTGTTTTTCCTCAAATTTTGCAATTTTTTGTTTCTTCACTTTTCTTTTCAATTTTTCATCTCTTTTGAACCTTTAATTTTACCCCATAAAAAACTCTTCGTTTTCATTTTTTGGTTCTTTAGTTTTTCGATTTTCCAACTTTTGTATATTTCATATTTTAGATTTATAATTTTTCCTTTATTCAATGGGACATTTTCTTAAACTTTTCGATTTCCTTTTCAGTTTTCAATTTTTGATCACGATTTTTCTAATTTTCATTTTCAATATGTAATAATAATTTTAAAAGAATTTCACTTTTTCAATTTTAGAATTGGATTTTAAAACTCATTTATTAGTGTTTTCAATTTTTCGACTTTTAAATGTTTCGATTTTTAAGTATTTCAATATTCCATTTTTTCGTTTCTTCAGTTTTCCAATTTTTTCAGACTTTTAATTTCGATTTTTTAACTTAAAACTTTTCAAAAATAAAAAATTGAAAGATTAAAAATTGGGAAACTTAAAAAATGAAAAAGTGCAAAATCCAAAAAAAAATCGAAATATGTATAGTAAAATAAAATTGAAATATCGAATATTACTGAAGTCGAAAAATCGGATAATTGTAAATCCAAAACTTGCAAAATTGAAAGATATCAAAATTAATAAATATTTAAAAATAAACCGAAAATCATAACATCGGAAGAAACATTGAAAAAATAAAGAAAATTAAAAACCAAAAAGTGTGATATCAAAAAATCACATATCAAATCTAGATTTTAATAAATTTAATTTGAAAAAACAAAAATTATGACAACGAAACATGGAGGGAAAAAATGAAAAAAAAAAAAAAGAAATTGAAAAGACAAAACATTGTGAAATAAAAAAATGTAAAATTAAAAAAACGGAAAATAAAAAAATTCAAAGCTGAAAAATCGAAAAACTGAAAACCAAAAAATTCTCATTGAAAAACGAAAAATCATAAATTCAGAACATTGAAAAACCGAAATGTTGAAAAAATAAAGAAAATAAAAAACCAAAACGACAAATTGCAAATCGAAAAACTAAGCAATGAAAAAGAAAATAAAAATCCGAAACGAAAAACTGCAAATCGAAAAGCTGTCAATAAGAAATGAAAAATTATGAAATAAAATCGAGAAAATGAAAATTAAAAAATTGGGATAATGAAAAATAAAAATCAAGACCTTGAAAAACTGAAGAAACGAAAAATTGGAAAATCGAAAAACAGTAAAATTAAAAAAAAAAAGCAAATCGAAAACATTTAACCTGAAAAAACGAAAAATTATGACATCGAAACATGGAAGAATAAAAAAAACTGAAAAAAAAAAAATTAAAAAACTGAAAAAACAAAACATTGTGAAATAAAAAATCCAAAATTAAAAAAACGGAAAATTAAAAAATACAAAGCTAAAATCGAAAAACTGAAAACCAAAAAATTCTCATTGAAAAAAGAAAAATTATAAATTCAGAACATTGAAAAACCGAAATATTGAAAAAATAAAGAAAATAAAAAACCAAAACGACAAATTGCAAATCGAAAAACCAAGCAATGAAAAAGAAAACAAAAATCCGAAACGAAAAACTGCAAATAGAAAAGCTGAAAATAAGAAATGAAAAATTATGAAATAAAATCGAGAAAATGAGAATTAAAAAATTGGGAAAATGAAAAATAAAAATCAAGAACTTGAAAAATTGAAGAAACGAAAAATTGGAAAATCGAAAAACAGTAAAATTTAAAAAAATTGCAAATCGAAAACATTTAACTTGAAAAAACGAAAAATTATGTCAACGAAACATGGAAGAATAAAAAAAATTAAACAATAAAGAAACTGAAAAAACAAAACATTGTGAAATAAAAAATAAACAAAAAATTAAAAAATCCAAAGCCGCAAAATCGAAAAACTGAAAATCAAAAAATTCTCATTGAAAAAAGAAAAATTATAAATTCAAAACATTGAAAAACCAAAATATTGAAAAAATAAAGAAAATAAAAAACCAAAACGACAAATTGCAAATCGAAAAACCAAGCAATGAGAAAGAAAATAAAAATCCGAAACGAAAAACTGCAAATCAAAAATCTGAAAATAAGAAATGAAAAATTATACAATAGAATCGAAAATTTGAAAAACTGAAGTAGGGAAAAATTGGAAAATCGAAAAATAGTAAAATTTAAAAAATTGCAAATCGAAAAATTGGAAAAATTGAACTTGAAAAAACGAAAAATTATGACAACGAAACATGGAAGAATAAAAGAGATTGAAAAAAGAAAGAAACTGAAAAAACAAAATATTGCCAGCTCAAAAAATGGGAAAACTGAAAACCGAAAAACTGAAAAATTTCTCATTGAAAAAAGAAATATTATAAATTCAGAACATTGAAAAACCGCCATATTGAAAAAATAAAGAAAATAAAAATCCGAAACGAAAAATTGCAAATCGAAAAATTCAAGCAATGAAAAATTGAAAAATCGAAAAATTCAAAAATAAAGAAAATAAAAATCCGAAACGAAAAATTACAAATCGAAAAACTGAAAATAAGAAATGAAAAATCGAGAAAATGAGAATGGAAAAATAGGGAAAATGAAAAATAAAAATCAAGAACTTGAAAAATTGAAGAAACGAAAAATTGGAAAATCGAAAAACAGTAAAATAAAAAAAAATGCAAATCGAAAACATTTAACATGGAAAAACGAAAAATTATGACAACGAAACATGGAAGAATAAAAAAAAATAAAAAAAAACAAAACATTGTGAAATTAAAAATCTAGAATTTAAAAATCCAAAGCTGAAAAATCGAAAAACTGAAAACCAAAACATTCTCCTTGAAAAAAGAAAAATTATAAATTGAGAACACTGAAAAACCGTCATATTGAAGAAATAAAGAAAATAAAAAACCAAAACGAAAAATTGAAGCAATGAAAAATTGAAAATCGAAAAATTGAAAAAATAAAGAAAATAAAAATCCGAAACGAAAAATTGCAAATCGAAAAGCTGAAAATAAGAAATGAAAAATTATGAAATAAAATCGAGAAAATGAGAATAAAAAATAGGGAAAATGAAAAATAAAAATCAAAAACTTGAAAAACTGAAGAAACGAAAAATTGGAAAATCGAAAAACAGTAAAATGAAAAAAAAATTGCAAATCGAGAACATTTAACTTGAAAAAACGAAAAATTATGACAACAAAACATGGAAGAATGAAAAAAATGAAAAAAAAAAAACAAAGAAACTGAAAAGACAAAAATTATAAATTCAGAACATTGAAAAACCGAAATATTGAAAAAATTAAGAAAATAAAAAACCAAAACGACAAATTACAAATCGAAAAACCAAGCAATGACAAAGAAAATAAAAATCCGAAACGAAAAACTGCAAATCGAAAAGCTGAAAATAAGAAATGAAAAATTATACAATAAAATCGAGAACTTGAAAAACTGAAGTAGGGAAAAAATTGGAAAATCGAAAAACAGTAAAATTTAAAAAATTGCAAATCGAAAAATTGGAAAAATTAAACTTGAAAAAACGAAAAATCATGACATAGAAAGATGGGAGAATAAAAAAAACTGAAAAAATAAAGAAACTGAAAAAACAAAACATTGTGAGATCAAAAAGTCTATAATTAAAAAAAAAAAAACGGAAGATTAAAAAATCCAAAGCTGAACAATCGAAAAACTGCAAACCGAAAAATTGAAAAAAGTCTCATTGAAAAAAGAAAAATTATAAATTCAGAACATTGAAAAACCAAAACATTGAAAAAATAAAGAAATTAAAAACGGAAACGAAAAATTGCAAATCGAAAAATCAAGCAATGATTAAGAAAATAAAAATCCGAAACGAAAAACTGAAAATCGAAAAGTGAAAAATTATACAATAAAATCGAGAACTTGAAAAACTGAAGTAGGGAAAAATTGGAAAATCGAAAAACAGTAAAATTTAACAAATTGCAAATTGAAAAATTAAAGTCTCATTGAAAAAAGAAAAATTATAAATTCAGAACATTGAAAATCCAAGATATTGAAAAAATAAAAGATAATTAAAAACCAAAAATTGTTATATAAAAAAATCACATTATCAAATCTAGATTTTAATAAATTTAACTTGAAAAAACGAAAAATTATGACAACGAAACATGGAAGAATAAAAAAAATTGAAAAAATAAAGAAACTGAAAAAACAAAACATTGTGAGATCAAAAAATCGGAAAACTGAAAACAGAAAAACTGAAAAATTTCTCATTGAAAAAAGAAAAATTCAAGCAATGAAAAATTGAAAAAATAAAGAAAATAAAAATCCGAAACGAAAAATTGCAAATCGAAAAGCTGAAAATAAGAAATGAAAAATTATGAAATAAAATCCAGAAAATGAGAATTAAAAAATAGGGAAAATGAAAAATAAAAATCAAGAACTTGAAAAATTGAAGAAACGAAAAATTGGAAAATCGAAAAACAGTAAAATTTAAAAAATTGCAAATCGAATAATTGGAGAAATTAAACTTGAAAAAACGAAAAATTATGACAACGAAACATGGAAGAATAAAAAAAATTGAAAAATAAAAAGTCTACTTAGAAAAAAACAACGGAAAATTAAAAAATCCAAACTGAACAATCGAAAAACTGCAAACCGAAAAATTGAAAAAAGTCTCATTGAAAAAAGAAAAACATTGAAAATCCAAAATATTGAAAAAATAAAAGAAAATTAAAAACCAAAAATTGTGATATCAAAAAATCACCTATCAAATCTAGATTTTTCAAAAAATCAAAGATTTGATGTTGCGAATTTTATTTATTTATTTATGATACAAAATCTAAAAACTATCGGTCCAGTAGTTTCGGAGATTATGTCTAATAACAATTGATACAGACGACAGACAGAAACGGGAGACCACTTTCTTCGTCTCCAGAGGTAATGAAACGTCGAGGAAATATAAAAGTGGCAAGTCGATTAGTATACTTCCTTAGCTTAAGCTTAAGCAAGACACTTGGGTCCCCGAAGCCTCATATTTTTCAAAAAATATGAATACATTGATAAACCACAAGTATCGACTCATATTTTGCACATTTTAGACACGATTTAAAATTTTGAGGGAACGTCATCAAGTTATATAATAATATAAAAAGTAAAAAATAAGGGCGGCGTAATAAACCACAGGTACAGCAGCACGTTAAAGTAGGGTTTGCTTTGTAAAATTTTAAGATGACGTGATCGATTTGTTAGTGAGGATGATCAGACAAATTTACAATGTGCACGATATTTCGAAAACAATAGTTAAAAATGCAGTGAGAGATTTTCCAAAACCAACTTGATGTACATACGATCTTTCATGATCACCCTGTACAAGAATTCCTAATTCTCGCAGTTTTACGATCGAAATTGAGACGATTTAGCGCTCAAAGTCTATACTGTCGAGACAAGAATTTCTCTCGCTGAAAGCAAAGAGTAAAGACTTACTTTAGACCCTTCATGGCCGTGCAATGGTCTTTAATACCCAAAACTCCAGCCAGGTACGAAATGTTATTCGGATTGTTGAAACCAATGCTTTTCTCTAAGACAGAGTCATAGCTTTCGTTCTTGTGATCCAACGCTTTTCTGAAATTGAAAGAAAAAATCGTTTTCATTCGATCCGTGACTTACCCCCTTCTAAAAAGAGGATCGTCTTCACACAAAACGTCATCTTCATAGTACCTGTTTGTACATTTGTTTGTGAGTCAGGAAAGATCGAGCACACTTTCCAATATCGAAATAACGAAAAGAGGCGCCATTGCATACATTGTATGTATGTATATTTTTAAACATTTACGTTGTTTTTGCGTCCATTCTTCGTGCGGCTGAGGCTCCAGACTCACAAACACGCTACCCTTAAAATGTATTATTTGCAATCCCTTAAATTAAGTTATACATACCGGATGATCTCGTTTCAAACTCAAACAGTTCCATCTGTTGTCAATACAACATTTTACAAATAAATTTGTCGACTCAATATAAAAATTCTCCTTTTTATTTTATCGGATACACACATAAAATTAAACCTCTTTAATCCTCAACTCTTTTTACTAACTTTTATTTAGTGCATTTTCGGGTTTTCATCGATACTGCGGAAAACATGTCTTTATAAGCAATGCGTACATCAATTCAACCATAGGATACAGCAATTGTTAATAGAGTGCAAGAAAGTCGATTTGTAGTAAAAGTATGGGACTAAGAAAAATGTCTCACCTGATTTCTGACTGATCATCGTTTTAAACACGTAGGGAATTGTGCAAACACCCACAGTGCAATTAGGATCGTGTGTGACACAAACACATACTTTAATTTGAATTTTTTTGAATGGTGAGAATCTCTTTTACGCTACGGTTTTACTCAAACATAAAACCTTCTAAAAAGAAAAATATCTCAGTTAGCTTCGAATGAAGACTTCTCTTTCTTTTGATTAGTTTCCATCCACACAACCAAAACCAAAAGTGTATGTTAAGAGACGGGTTTTTTTTTGTTTGTTTGTTTGAAACTAAATATGCGTGTAAAAACATGAAAATGCTGTACCCAAAAAACACAACTACTGAAAAAAATGTTATGTCCTCCCCTATCCCTACGGATTTCTACCTAGAAGCACTTACTTGTAGACGAGAGGGAAATCGTCGGCACTGATTAATCCGAGAGGCGGACGACGTTCGGGTTCGTTCGGTTTTCTTGGTGTGCCCTTCATGCAACACACCATTTTATCCGAATCCGGAATTTTTTCGATTACTTCGCAGCACACCGAGTCATTCATCATGTAGCTGCGCGTTATGCCCTTCTTATCAACTGCCGGTATTATGTTTGCCACCGGACAAAATGCCTGCGAAAAAAAAAAAACAAAATATACTCACTCAACTTTTTTATTTAGTTGCAGCAAAAAGATTTTTTTTTTATTGAAATTCTACTCTTTTCTTCAATATTTACAATTAATGTGTAGGATTTAAGAAATTTGGTTCAAAGTTATTTAGAAAGAAGTATTGCAATCGACTCCGTTGGACGACTGGCTACTTTTATGTTTTCTCGACGTTTCATGACCCTTAGAGCACGAAAAGATAGGTCTTCCGTTTCCGCCATCTGTCTGTCTGCCCCCGATTCGAATTTTTATTAGACGGATCATCTCCGAAACTACTCGACCGATTTTTAAGGATATCGTAATCATGGTAAATCGTTAATCAACATTTATTTTTATCGCCCTCCAAAAAATTGATGACGTCAACACAAAATTTGTACTAATAAATTCTCTTGAAATATGCTAAATATGATGACTATAATTGTGACAAAATCAAATTTTACAATTATTCAAAAAATTTGGGTTCATTTACCTTCGACCAATTTTTTGATATCACAATCTTTCGCTTTTTTTAATTTTTTTCAATTTTTCCATTTTACAATATTTCGGTTTCATGATTTTTTCGTTTTATCAAGTTTTTTCAATTTTGCAATTTTTCGTTCTTGCAATTTTTAATTTTTTGATTTTTCAGTTTCTCAATTTATCAAGTTTTTGATTTGAATTTTTCATTTCCCAGATTCTTTAACTTTCATTTTCTCCATTTTCAATCACAATTTTTCGGTTTATTTTTCCAATGTTATTTAGATTTTATAATTTTTCGTTTACTCGATTATTCAAATTTTCAAATTTGAGTTTTCGATTCCTCGATTTTCCAATTTTTAAATTTTTCTATTTTGCAATTGTTGGATTTTTCAATTATCTTATTTTCTGATTTTTTTAATTTTCAATATTTCGATTTTTCAATTATTTGTTTCTTTTTTCAAGTTCTTCATATTCAGTTCTTATGTTTTTCAAAATTTTCTTTTTATATTTTTTCGTTTTTTTATTTTTGATTTTTCAATTTTACAATCATGCAATTTTCCCTTTTGTTGATTCGAAAAATTGAAACTTCGAAAAACAAGAAAATAGGAAAAAAATTAAAAATCGAGAAATTGCAAAATCGAAAAAGTGGAAAAAAGAAAATTTTCAAATCGAAGAACTGAAGACACTAAAAAGAGAAATTGAAAAACTAAAAAAAATCAAAAAAAATCAATAAATCGAAAAACTACGATGAAAAAACCAATTGATTCGAAAAATTGCAAAATCCAAAAATTGAAAACTCGAAAAATTGTAGAATTGTCAAAAAAGTAAAGTGAAAAATCGACTAACTGAAAAACTCTTAAAATCCAATAATCGAAAAATGGAAAAAAATCGAAAAATTGAAAAAAATTAAGAAAATAAAAATCCGAAACGAAAAATCGAAAAGCTGAAAATAAGAAATTAAAAATTAGGATATAAAATCGAGAAAATGAGAATTGAAAAATAGGGAAAATGAAAAATAAAAATCAAGAACTTGAGAAATTGAAGAAACGAAAAATTGGAAAATCGAATAACAGTAAAATTTAAAAAGTTGCAAATCGAAAAGTTGAAAAAATTTAAATTGAAAAAATGAAAAATTATGACAACGAAACATGGAAGAATAAAACAATTGAAAAAACAGAAATTAAAAAATCCAAAGCTGAAAAATCGAAACATTTCCCATTGAAAAAAGAAAAAATATAAATTCAGAAAAAATAAAAAACTGAAATGAAAAATTGAAGCAATGAAAAATCGGACAAATAAAAAAACAAAAAACCGAAACGAAAAGTTGCGAATCAAAAAGCTAAAAATAAGAAATGAAAAATTAAAATCACAAACTTGAAAAATTTGAAAATCCAATAACTGTAAAATTAAAAAAATGCAAATCGAAAAATTGAAAAACTGAAAACTTGATAAATTTGCAAGATGCGAAACTGAAAAATTTTACTTTTTCGTTTAACCGATTATTCAAATTCTCAATATTTAAGGTTCTGATTTCTCGATTTGCCAATTTTTAGATTTTTCAATTATTTGATTTTGATTTCTTTAATTTTCAATACTTCGATTTTTCAATTATTCGTTTCTTTTTTTCAAGTTCTTGATATACAGTTCTTAGATTTTTTAAAGTTTTCATTTTATACTTTTTCGTTTTTTTATTTTTGATTTTTCAATTTTACAATTACGCAATTTTTCCAATTTTTGATTCGAAAAATTGGAAATTCGAATAACAAGAAAATGGGAAAAAACTAAGAATCGAGAAATTGCAAAATCGAAAAAGTGGAAAGCAGAAAATTTTCAAATCGAAGATCTGATGACACTAAAACGAAAAATTGAAACATTGATAAACTAAAATTCGAAAAAAAAAATGATTAATCGAAAAACTGGAATGAAAAAACAAATCGAATCGAAAAATTGTAAAACCCGAAATTTGAAAAATCAAAAAATTATGGAATTGTCAAAAACATAAGAGTCAAAAATCTGCAACATTGAAAAATCGTCTAATTGAAAAAGTTTTAAAATTCTACAATCGTAAAATTGAAAAAGCGAAAATTTTTAAACATTGTTACCATTATTAATTTAAAATGAAAACTAGAAAAATAGCAAATGAGAAACTAAAGAAACGAAAAGTTGAAAAATCGAGAAACTGAAAAATCTAAAATTAAAAAAAAAATAATAAAATATCTAAAAGTTGAAAAACCCAAAAACTGAAAAAAATTAAGAAAATAAATGAAAAATTATGATATAAGATGGAGAAAATGAAAAATAAAACAGGGAAAATGAAACACAAAAATCAAAAACTTGAAAATTTGAGGAAACGAAAAATTGAAAAACAGTAAAATTAAAAAATTGGCAATCGTAAAATTGAAAAAATTAAACTTGAAAACACGAAAAATTATGACAACGAAACGTGGAATAAAAAAATAAAGAAATTGAAAAAACAAAACATTGAGATCAAAAAATCTAAAATTAAAAAAAAAAACGGAGAATTAAAAATGGAAAAACTGAAAACAGAAAAAATGAAAAATTTCTCATTAAAACAGAAAAATTATAAAATCAGAACATCAAAAAACCGAAATTTTGAAAAAATAATGAAAATAAACCGAAACGAAAAATTGCAAATTGAAAAATTGAAGCAATGAAAAATTGAATAATCGAAAAACTGAAAAAATAAAAAATCGAAACGAAAAATTGCAAACCGAAAAACTGAAAATAAGAAATGAAAAATAATGATATAAAATAGAGAAAATGAAAAATAAAAATCGAGAACTTGAAAAATTGGGAAAATCAAAAAACAATAAAATTAAAAAATTGCAAATCGAAAAATTGAACTTGAAAAAACGAAAAATTATGACGACGAAACGTGAAATAAAAAAAACTGAAAAAAATAAAGCAAATGAAAAAACAAAACATTGGGAGATAAAAAAATCCAAAATTGAGAAAAACGAAAAAAAAAAATCCAAAGTTGAAAAATCGAAAAACTGAAAACAGAAAAATTATAAAATCAGAACATTAAAAAACCGAAATCTTGAAAAAATTAAGAAATTAAAAAATTGAAACGAAAAATTGAAGAAAACAAAACATTGTGAGATCAAAAAATCCACAACTGAATAAACGGAAAAAAAATTCAAAGTTGAAAAATCGAAACACTGAAAACAGAAAAATTAAAAAATCAGAACATTAAAAAACCGAAATTTTGAAAAAATTAAGAAATTAAAAAACCGAAACGAAAAATAAAGCAATGAAAAATTGAATAATAGAAACAGTAAAAAAAAAAGACCGAAACAAAAAATCGCAAATCGAAAACTTGAAAAATTGAGGAAACAAAAAATTGTAAATCGAGAAACTGAAAACTTGAAAAAAATTAAACTTGAAAAACCGAAAAATTATGACAACAAAATTTGGAATAAAAAAATTGAAAAAATAAACTGAAAAAACAACATTGAGATCAAAAAATCTAAAAATGAGAAAAACGGAAAATTAAAAATTTCAAAGCTGAAAAATCGAAAAACTGAAAACAGAAAAATTAAAAAATTTGTTATTAAAACACAAAATTTTATCAGAACATGGAAAAACCTAAAAATTGAAAAAATAAAGAATATGAAAAATTGAAAATTTTCTCATTGAAAAAAGAAAAATTATAAATTCAGAACATTGAAAAATCGAAATATTGAAAAAATAAAGAATATAAAAAAACCGAAACGAAAAATTGCAAATCGAAAAATTCAAGCAATGAAAAATTGAAAAATCGAAAAAATAAAGAAAATAAAAATCACAAAAAAAAATGCAAATCGAAAAGCTGAAAATAAGAAATGAAAATTTATAATATAAAATCGAGAAAATTAGAATTCTAAAATAGAGAAAATGGAAAATAAGAATCACGAAATTGAAAACTTGAGGAAACGAAAAATTGGAAAATCGAATAACAGTAAAATTTAAAAAATTCCAATTCGAAAAATTGAAAACATTTCATTTGAAAACACGAAAAAGGCAAAATGGAAGAATAAAACAATAATTGAAAAAATAAAGAAACTGACAAAACAAAACATTGTGAAATCAAAAAATCTAAAATTGAAAAAACGGAAAATTAAAACATCCAAAGCTGAAAAATCGAAATAATAATAATAATAATAATAATAATAATAAGTTTATTGTCCCACAGGTTTCCCTAATTACAGGACAAAATATAAAAAAAATACATAATAATAAATATACAAATAACTAAATAAAAGAAAAGAAAAAAACAGCACTCTCGACCATAATACAAACAGGACTAACCCAAGAAAACATCACTCACGAGCTTATTTGCACATTTGCACATCACTGAAATCGGTGAACGGCATAAGACGTTCGTGCGTGGAGACGGCACATAAAAGGTAACTACATGTCGTGAAGAGAATTGCGGCACATTAAATTCAACTTTCGATAGTAAGGACGCACAATCAATCCTATTATTAATTAATTTTACAATAAAG